TCAAGCTCGCGTCGATGGATACTGTATTTTATACAAATGAACCATACTGACAGTAGTCAACAATTACTGCAAGCGACTGTGGTTTAATCGTGTGCTGTAGTACAGAAATTGTATAGTTAGTAGGTTGGTTGCAGAGGCAGGCCATTGCATAACTTCCATGTTACTCAATTAGGGACTTTTCGCCGTTTTGTTTCCACATTCCTCGCAAAAGCCCTTAGTATAAAAGAGTAGAAACTAAATCCATCCCGTCAAATTTAGATAATTTAACGTCTCTCGTCTTCACCGATAAACAGTCTGATATAATGTCAAAGAAGTATCTTCCTCAATACCTATTTCATCTGGACGTCGGATATTCACAGAGAAAATATATTATGGTTTCTTTTTCCAGTGAGGATTATAAGGAATACATAGTTTCTCAGCGTGAGTTCCTATATAACAATGACCAATAACCTGAAAGTTGCACTTGACTTAATTGTTATCCATCTGTTATTGGCAAGTCGGCCTCTAGTATAATATACACCGGTACGGTCGGGTACGCATCGAGAAAAACGCTGCAGCGGGTTAAACTGTTACCTTTTTAGTTTCCTTGGATGTTCTTATACGCAGAAACCTAGACAAGGGAGCCATTGTATAGTAGTATAATTGTGCGGTAGGGCTGTACTTAATAATTTTGAATTTTATACTAAAATATGAAAGTCGAACATATTTTCAGATAATATTAACTATTAACATACTTGATTACTCATCAGATATTATTGAAATACTAAAGAATTATAATTTTTCTACAACTATTAACAATACTTTCGATGGTCTTTTTTAGCTAGTCCTTCGCTTCAGTGGAGCCACTACCTGGATGGTGCGCTGTCCCAACGTCCCTAAAATATATATAACATTACTTTTGATACTTATCAATAAAAAATCGATTATAACAAAAACATATTTAAATATATTTAGAAAGAAATCTCAAATAAATGTAACCAAATTCAAATTTAGGACATTTTCTGAGGCAATTAATTGTGTATGACCCTGGTTAGAAAGTTTGCCATTTTCTCTGCGTTTATTCGTTTGTTTTTTATTATTCTGTTCCTTTGTAGCTTTAGGGGCAAATGTGCAGAATTGTACGAGTATATGCTAAATACAATATCACGCTGTTTAATGTTATATATCATGAGATGAAAAATTCATCAAAAGTTTGCTTGTTTCCTGTGGCGCGTCGCTGTTTTTGATTCATATCCGGTAACGCTTGCACGTTCGTCCTTCGCATTAATGACAATACGCTGCTTCCGGTGTGCCGTGCATATAACATTTTCTTACTTCACAAACGAAATTGCGCTTAAAAGGATGTAGCGCAGCTGGGCCTCTTATGTAGCGCCTGCAATTTCAACGTTTCGTGTAAATAAGTCTATTTGCGGTAGGTGTCGGTGTTTTGATGTTAGCTTGGTAACATTCCATAACTTGTGTTCCCTAATATCCTGTTGAATATACATTACCTGACAATAACTGACAAAATATATAACGTGTTAAATAATTTGAGTCGGTTTTTTCCTCTTCGGTCCTTTCAAAATTTTTAAAATAAACAAGTAGATACATTTTGAGTTGATGGCATGAGTGTATTACCTTGTAACCACCGCTTAGTGGTGTTGATGTCTGCCGAGAATTTGTTGGGTTGCTTTACGGATGTCATTTTTTATTTTTACCTAAGAGTCATTTATGAAGAATGCCTTCGACGTTAAGAAATATTTTTGTAATATAAACATTCATAAAACGAAACACATTTCATTTTAATGCTACATGTCAAAATTGTATTTAATATTAATGTCTACTTATGTACTTATGTGTATTTGGAAGCAGGGGTGCATTTGTTAAAAATGCATATAAATATTATTTTAATAAGGATTTTCAGTTCTAAAGAGAAATGTTTTCTCCAAACCCTACAGTATTAACCAACAATAACGTTAAAGATATATTACATATGATTTTTAATTCTTGCATAAATTACTTAGCCGCTTTTTTGAACTGAATCACACAAATGTAATTTAAGATTGGAATTTTTTTTAAATTATTAATAATTAAAATTTAAACAAATAAAACAAATTCAATTAAAATACAAAAACATGACTCGAATTAATTGAAATCTATTAGGTTTCATCGATTACTCAACAAAATCATGTCCTTTCATATATTATATTTTATTTATATTTTATATTTTGTACACCTTTTTCTTCATTATCTATAAGATAAATATATCGGATAATCGCCGATCCACGTCGAAATAAACTCATCATTACTTTTCCTTTGTGTGCAGTCGAGCAACTAATCAGCAACAAAAACTGTGCAATTTACGCTGAACAGTTCTTGTCACTTATTGACAGTTGTTTTCCTTATTATTATTTTTTTAATATTATATATATATAATATATATATATATACATATTTCTTGAGCCTTATAAACATGAGCACAATGCTGTGCGCTGCTCCTTGAGATTTATTACGAGCAGAACGAAGACATGGAAAGTTTCATATTTATTTTATGTTTATGAAAGACATTTGTACTTTATGTGTGCAACCGTGTGGAAAATTGATTTGTTAACAGTCGAATCCAGAATCCAGAATCCAGAGTACCTATTATTTAGGCAATTGAGAGTTTCAGTTGTGCTCGTTTCAGCTGCTGTGGCAGCTAGCAGCAGGACGAATAAGCGCAAACACAACAAAGGCATAATCAACAATACTTAGAATTCCTACAATAACAATATCAACGGGAACAATTGAATTCTCTGCAAACGATTTCATAGCTCCATGGAATGTCATCATGGTTTGTAAGTCCAGGTGTATGGTGAGTTATTGTTTTGACACTTTCAATACATTAAAACATTTAAGGATATTTTTAAAAATTTATTTACCTACATTGATTTAATATTTTGTTCAAAGAAATTAAACTTTATTGGCTTATGTGCTTTCAATATATTTCTTGAGTAAACAAATTAATGAAATAAATTTACTTTTATTTATAAAAATAAAATTATATTTTAATTGAATACATGAATCTTTGACGATAGGTATTGTAACTACAAAAATA